TGCAGATGATACAACCTTGCATGCTGAAAGTGAAGAGGACTTAAAACATTTACTTATGAAGATCAAAGAGCACAGCCTTCGAAGTGGATTACATCTCAATGTAAAGAAAACAAAAATCCTCACCACTGGACCAATAAACAACATTCTTATCAATGGAGAAAAGATTGAAGTTGTCAAGGACTTCATTCTTCTTGGATCAACTATCAATACTCATGGAAGCAGCAGTCAAGAAATCAAAGATGTCAGTTTGAGGACTAAAGTGTGCCTGACACAAATCATAGTATTTTCAATTGTTTCATATTCACATGAAAGTTGGACAATGAATAAGGAAGACCATAGAAGAACTGATACACTTTAATCATGGTGTTGGTGAAGACTATTGAAAGTTCCATGGACTGCCAGAAGGACAAACAAATCTGTCTTTGAAGAAATAAAACCGGAATGCTCTCTTGAGGATGGCAAGACTTTATCTTTTGTACTTTCAATATATTATCAGGAGGGATAAGTCCCTAGAGAAGGACATCATGGAGGGTCAGCAAAAAAGATGAAGATTCTTCACAAAATCTATTTACACAGTGCAGCACCAATGGGCTCTGACATAGTAACAATGTGGGGATAGTGTAGGACTGGGCAGTTTTTTATTCAGTTATACATAAGGTCGCTATGAATAGGAACCAACTTGATGGCAGCTATCAACTAAGTGTTATAAAAGATTAATATTGGATGATCCCATTTAGTTTTGTGGAGTGTTTAGGAAAGACTTTACTAAAGAAGGGACATTTAGGCTCAGATCTTTACAATGTGTCAGTTAACTAGGTTGGGGATGATATTAGGAGGATTCCAGATGGAAGACCACCTGTGGCATGAGGGACCTTTTTTTTTTTCACTGTTGAAATAAAAGTTTATTTAAATATTTCTAGATTTCTCTTAAAATTTTTTAAAGTTTTATTTGTGGATTGAGTAATAGTTTACACAAGAGAACATTGGTTTAATACCATCATTTCATTATAATGATTGTATCTCCTCCATGCATCATCATTCAACAGTTATTTGTTTCTATTCCCTCTGTTTTGTTTTGTTTTGTTCCCTTGGTGCGGGAGTGTACACAAAAACACTTAGGAATATACAATAATTTAAACAACCAAAGGACACATTTTGCAAACCTGCCTCCTGGCTGCCAGCACTCATTCTTTCTCTTTCCATGAGTCTAGAGTCCTCTCTCCTTGTCTCTCTCTCTCCATCTCTGGTGTTGCTGCTTCTCTGTATAGGGTCCCATATTCTGCTTGTGGTTTCCTCCCTTGATGGTCCTAGGGTCCTCTGTTTCTGGACTGTAAGATTAACTACTCTCCTGTTTTTGTTACAAAACTTCTATCTTTAGTTGTAATGGTCACAATTAGTCATGATAACAGTTATTCACTATTGAATCATAAGAATTTTAAACCCATCTCTTTTCACCACACTTGTCTAGACAAGATGAAAACTATTCAGTGGGGACTCTACCTGGCACGAAGGAGCTTTTTACCAGAGAGTGTGGCTAGGCCTGAAGAACCAGGAAAACATGATGTGAATCATGATGAGAATTTAAGCCTTTATTCTAGAAGCAATGGGAAGTTACTTAAGAAAACTTGAGGCTCAGGATTTATAATTAGTGGTATACTGGAGACAGCTGTTCACCAGAGCATATTTTGCAGGTCTCTTCTCAACTCTTAAGGAACTCTGGTAGCGTAGTGGTTACGAATAGGGCTGCAAACGGCAAGGTCAGCAGTTCAAAACCACCAGCTGTTCCGTGGGAGAAAGATGAGGTTTTCTGCTCCCATAAAGATTTACAACCTCGGAAACCCTGTCTGTACAGGGTTGCTATGAGTTGGAACTGACTCCAAGGCACATACCAACAACTTCTTACCTCTTGGTTTGGTGGCATCACTGAACTTGTAGAGTGAAATAGCCCATGGAGGTGGTATTTATATCATGGAAATTGGCAAACACTATAAATCAGGGCTCCTCTACCCTCTGGAGGGGAATGCAAGATCAGCACTGGACTCCTGGTTTGGCACTGTAGGATCAGAATTTGAGTGTGAACAATAAGGTCGGTGGTTCAAATCCAGCAGCCTCTCCTCTCCTCCTCAGAAACCCTATATAGAATTGCCTTAAGTCAGAACCGACTGGATGACACTTAAAACTCCCCTCTGGAGAGCTGTCTTTTTTTTTTTTTTAAACATTAACCAGCATATCACTGATTAACATAAGCTCTAATTATGTGTTGAAAAGAAATTACTTTCATTTCTGGGTGGAAAACAAATTTCAGGGGAACAGGGAAACTAGTTACAAGGTGATTCTGATAATTTGATGGAGAAATAACTGTGCTCTGAATTAGAGTAGTTATAGCTGAGATGGAGAGAAGCCGGTGAATTTGAAACACATAAAGATTTAAATCCAACAAGGTTTAGTGATAGATTGGATTGGGTAGTTACAGGAAAAATAGGTGATGAAGATGACTGAGTTATTTGGCTTGTGGTACTGGAGAGCTAGTGCTACCACTGGCTGAGATACAAACACTGGTTGACTAGCAATTTTTTTCCCAAAGTTAAATATTTGTATTGATAATCAGGGAGATAGCAGTTGTAAATATAAATACACTTAGCAGTAGAGTTCCAAACTACATACACCATAAAATGGCAGAATCAAAGGGGAAAATAAACAATTCAACCAAAATTATTAAAGTTCACAATACTACCTTTGTGGGAATTAGGATAATGTCACCTAAAGTTTTCCATGCCCTAGTGGTTATGAATCGGACTGCTAATCTCACAGTCAGCAGTTTGAAACTACCAGCTGTTCCATGGGAGAAAGATGAGGCTTTCTGCTCCTGTAAAGAGTTACAGCCTCGGAAACACTGTGCAGGGTCGCTATGAGTCAGAACCGACTCCATGGCACATCACAACAACAACAATCCCTAAAGCCTATGAATATGTTAATTTTTAAAACTTCTATTCACTTTATTATTCTATTTTTACACTTACAAAACAAATATACACATATATTCATTTAAATGTCCATAGAGCACATTCTGCCAGCCAGCCTCCTGCCCACAGGCACACATTTTTTCTCAGGCCATGGGCCTAGAGCCCACAATTGCTCTGTCTCTTGACCGGCAATTTTTTGGTTTTATTTTTCACTTTCTAGAAGGAGAGATTGTGATGAGGAAAGACTATGAATTTCGATGTGGACATTTATGAGTTTGAATTGTTTGTGAGAGACTCAAGTGAAGTGCCAAGTAAGAAGTTGGATTTACAGACCTAGAAATCAGAGCAGGCATCTGAGTAGGAGCTACAGATATGAGCTTCATAGTATTGGGTAGTAGTTGAAATTTTGGGCATTAGTAAGGTGGAGGGTCAGAGAAAAAGAGGAAGACCCCCAACAAGTTGGACTGGCCAAGTGGCAGCATTGATGGACTCAAGAGTGGCAACAGTAGTGACGTTGGTCTAGGATTGGGCAGTGTTTCGTTCTGCTGTGCATAAGGTGGCTATGAGTCGGTACCGACTCGATGGCACCTAACAACAACAACAAAGGTCACTTAAGAAAAGAATACAGATGAAAATAGAAGATAATCTAAGACTGAATCTCTGAGGTTAGCTCTTGAGGAATAAACTTTAAAGAGCCAACATTTTATGCAAACAGTATACAATTTGGTTGTGTTTTTAAAAACAACTCGAGAGTCTTTGTCTTTATGTTGAGGTGTTTTTCTTTTAATTCCCCCATCCTTATTATTTGTCTTATTAATGTTTCCTTATTTTTTCTCTTTTCTATTCATGTATGTATGTATGCATGAGTATTTGTACATATGTACGTATGCCTTCTGTTCCAATTCTTTTCCTTTTTTAAAAAGTAGCTTACAATTTATAATTAATGCACTATGATATCTAACTCTAGGTGTACATGCTGAATTCTATAGTGGAGTGGTTTGGAACTTCTTGAGTCATTTTTCTGTAACAGTTTCTTTTCCTGAGTCATTTTCATTCATTTATCAACTAGGTAGAGTTCTGACTTAAAACACTTTATTTTTTATAAGAGAAGGCAGGAGGATGGCTTGTAGCTGAACTCTTGTATATCTCAGAAGGTCTTTCTCTTGTCTTTGCAAAGAAACAACATCTAGTCAGAATACAACATTCTTGTATCATAACCTTTTGTTCTCAAAACTCTCCAACACTATTCCATTATCTTCTGGTATTCAATGTTTGCAGACAAAAAGCCTTGAATTTGATTTTGAGTTTTCTTCCAAGATGCTAGTAGAATTTGTATTTGGACTGCTTATCCTACAGCACCACACATAGTTGCAAGGTTGATGGTTCAAACCCACCAGTCACCCATACAGGGTCTCTATGAGTTGGAACCAACTGGATGACACTTAACAAAAACAACAATGTACATATGTGTATGTGTGTGTATATATATATATGTTGTTGTTGTTGTTGTTGTTTTGCTGTTTTGC